TTAAAAGCGCATTATAAACTGCGAATAAACCATGTGGTGGCGGCTGGTATACATACAGCAGCAAAAAATACACAAGCACATTTGCCATTCCAGTATGGAATGTAAATGCTGTGCACCAACATATCTATTGCACATTATGTAGTTCAAATGTTTGAGTAATCTATAGCTCAGAGTGGAAGATATGGCATTTCCAGGGTTTAATTTTCAAAATATTCCCATTGGAGCATGCCCCCTAGTATTTACTCTGTCTAATGCTGGGCGATTTTACCTGTCAGTGGTAGAGTACTACTAATTAATGGGTTAACAAACCTATCTGCCAACATCTCTTATTAACCCATTGATTGGCAATGCAACCTGTACTTTAGTATTTACTATCTGAAACGCCAGAGATTTTACTTGACAGTGGTAGAATACTAGCAGTGAAAGAGTTACTGTCGTTCCAATTGAAGTGTTGCTCAAATATTTATTCAATACATTACCTCAGGCTGACCAATTCATTTCATCAAGTTCCTCGAGATATTCATACACTTTCTGTGAGAGCGCCAATTCCAAGTATTTGATCATTTCTGGTCACTTCCTTTCTATTTATGATTGGTTAGTTGCACAAACAACAAAGGTGATTGGTGCATTCAAACTATTCAACAGGAAGTTTACAATTATACTAGGAACTTGATGAAATGAATTGGTCAGCCTGAGATAATGTATTGAATCAATATTTGAGCAACACTTCAATTGGAACCACAGTAACAAACCTATTTGCCAATGTCTATTATTAACCCCATTAACTGGCAATGACCCTACTTTACAGTATGTATTTACTCTGTGTAATGCCTAGCCTGCGTAGCGGCCCTAGAAAGAAGGGCCTGCACGAAACCCCCCGCTTTGCCGTATTTACTCGTTCTCTCAGAGGACGAGAAATCTGATTGGTTCAAAATGAAAAAATATGCTAATTTATGCTAAAATTCATACAAACACGGCGGATGTATTATTGAGGGCGTTTCATTGAGTTTTGCATTCAAAAGAGCTTAAAGGCCACGATTTACGGTTGAACATTAAAGGTATTTACGAACTTAATTGGTTCACGAAGCTCTAGATATATTGACTGTGGTGTCTTTGTTAGATTGCTGTCTATTAGCAGCACCTCTTTCACAACTCACGAGCGTGTTCGTTTTCATAAATTCATCGACGACAAATAGATTTTTTCTTCATGATTTTGTAGCTAATAATTTTGTGCCAGGAGAGAATTGCTATAAATACTTATGTCTTATGAACAGGACTTGCTCTCTGTGAAGTGATGGCTTTAAACACCTTTAATATTCTCTTCTCAGCATCGCTTGAAACTTTAACATTTAATACATCACGGTTGACCGCTTTCGAAACTTATAAATTATATTTGTACGTGTGCAAGAAAGCTACGAAATATCGTAGATACGGACAGCAAACTACTTGTTGCAACGATGGAGATTGCCCTAGGCCTAGCGCTATTCCCACAGACTTCAATTTTCTTTAGCCGCTATCCGTATATTACAGTATTTCGTTTTGAATTTGCGAGCATACAGCAATCTATATTTATATTTCATTTTGACAAGTAAATTTGCAAACGTAAACAATCTGTGTGATTGGCCAATTTTGACATCTATTTAAAGTGGGCGTAGCCTGCAGGCTAGGTGGGCGGAAATGGCAAAGCGGGGGGTTTCGTGCAGGCCCTTCTTTCTAGGGCCGCTACGCAGGCTATGTAATGCCAGACAATTTTACTCGTCAGTGGTAGAGTACTGCCAGTAAATGGGTTAACAATGTTAGGTGTGCTGTTTCATGGTCTCAGTTATACCCCGGTCTGATATTTCCTTTTGGATTAACAGAGCAATGGGCTATGTGTTAAGAAACACAACTGATCTTTTCAATACTTCTATTTTTTGAAAAAGCACTACTACTTTATCTTGTTTTGCAAACAAATTCAACAATTATAAGACATTTTTACTTAAATTTAAAGAGTGTTTAAGGGAGAAAAACCCAGACCTGGGAGTACTGAGACCGCTACACCAGCACACAAAAATAGACATTCCATACTAGTTGCTTTTTTAATATAGGCTGGAGTATGAAGCATACATATTAAACGCAATCATAATGAGTTCAGCAATGGCCAGAATTCGTTAAAAAGTTCTACTCTGTCTATATTTTATATATTAGGCTATATGTATAAAATATATACCTATATAAAATAAATATATCAGTTCGAAATTGATCGGAAGACTGGCGGCCATCTTGAATTTAGATCAAACAATTGGGGAAGAAAGCTGTTGTTTTCTTCCTCGCAAATAATGTAAATACTGATACTACAGATTATACCAAAACATAAAATAATCCATGCTTTATAATCAACGTTTTATATACTACAAGATAAATACTCTAACAAACAAACCATCGCATTTGAGGACAACTAGTTTAAGTCGTCGACAAGTTCATGAAATATCATGAACTACATGAAGCTGTTTAATAGCCTGTTTATTACAGTCGGCCACAAATATAATACACACGTCTATATCAATGTTTTAAACAATAATAATAACACAATGTTATTTGTAAAAAGTATCTACTTACTTTTAACAGTAGGATCAACAAATTGTTTCAAAATATTGCCTTCAAATCCGAATATAGCTTTGTAGAGCTCCAGTTTAGCAGTGTTGACAGTGTGGTAGGAATGTGCCAATGCGTTCAAATGCCACGTGACAATAAAGAATAGAAATGATGCAATCTTTACGCATGCACGTGCAAATTAGAACCCATGGCCAAGGCGGCCACGGCCACAGCACTCTCGTGTTCTTTATAAAATGCAGTTTTGAATTATTAAAATCGTTTTAATCTCACTAGCGGACGCGAGAAGATCAAGTTCCGTATTGTAGTCAAATCAGGCAAAATAGCATCAATCATAATGTTGCCGTCTGCGAGAATATCTCAATTGTGCGCCGCGAGGTGCCCAGTTGAATATTACAATAATTTACAAAAGGCAACTCGGGCCAGAAGACGAAGAATTCGAGTTTTTAGATTGCCAGACTGCCAGTATAGGCTATATAGCTAAATTGAAAACCTAGTGTCGACGTTGTTCATTTGTTGACGTTACAGCCAGGTTAAACCAAAATTCACAGCAATTATGAATTATCCGGCTGTCGATAACATGATCGAGTTAATCCTCTGAATGTCACTTTTAGACATTGCTACAACGTTACACTCCAACGTTGTCACAACGTCGTAAATAGACGTTGAACAAACGTTAATTGGCCGTCTCAATCCCAACGTCCAACAACAACATTGCAGCAACGTTTATCACACAAACTTTTATTACAAAGAAAGAAAACAATGTCACCTAAACGTTGTGGTAAAGTTAGTCCGACCTAACATTACTACAACCTTCTACCAACGATGTGATAACGTTGTGTGCTAGCTGGGTATTTTTATAATTTATAGACCAATAAACGCATAATTTTTACTATATGTTATATCTAGTCAACTGTCAAGAACGAAAAACCCACAATGGTTAATTTCTATGGCTCCAAGACCAAATGTTGAAATATTTATCCTCTTTGAGATCCTCTTATTATTTTTGATAATTTTATATCATGTATTAAACAGGGCAAATTAAATATCTATCTATGTATCTATCTATCTTGTGCGACTGCGAAGCTTTGAATTAAACCTTGAATATTTGAACATCCAGCTGTTGCCAGTGACTTGCCAAAGGCTGTTGTTTCATAAAATATCACGTCGCGGCGTTGTTTATAGAAACATAAAATGATAACAGAATGGCAGTATGTTTCAATTTAAGTATCTGAGAACAATTTAAACAATACATCACACGAAAATGCAAAAAGGAGAGCGTTTTTACAGCTCCCCAAAGCATTTGTTTTGTACCAGGCAGTGCCAGTGTGTAGTATACTGTATAAACAATATGATAATATATGTAGCATTTTTACAGCTTAACACGACTACACTGTATATTAAAAACGTGAAATACATTATTTACTCTGTCTATTAATGCCGGACAATTTTACTTGTCAAGGGGCATACACCTTAATTTTCCACTGGCTACTGAAGACTCAAAGTCTTGACAACATAAGTTTCCACTATTCACAGCATACTATTAAGCTTAATTTATCATTTAATTAAATGTTTAATTATACTATCCATACTGTAAAACAGATTCTACTGGCTGCCAAAAGACTCTAGGTCTTGACAACCTGCTGACTAAAGACTCGAAGTCTTGACAACATAAGTTTCCACTATTCACAGTATACTATTTAGTTTAATTTATCATTTAATTAAATGTTTAATTATACTATCAATACTGTAAAACAGTTTCCACTGGCTGCCGTAAGACTCTAGGTCTTGACAACCTGCTGACTAAAGACTCAAAGTCTTGACAACATAAGTTTCCACTATTCACAGCATACTATTTAGTTTAATTTATAATTTTACTCTTTTAATTTTAAATTTATCTGTACTTTTACATGGTTAGTTTTCACTGGACACCTGACTAAAGACTCTTGACGACATATATTTTAGCAATTTAGAGAATGAAAATAGTTGAGTGATCATTGTAAATAGTTTTTCTAATGTATATAGTGGCAATTCTCCCGGCCCTGCTATTTTACTCTGTATAATGCCAGGCGATTCAGGTTTGTTATAACGTCTTAATTTCTGCAATTTGTGTATATAGGTGCAGGTGCTGGCAAAATTACAGCCTTCATTGTACATTTTCCTTCAAGATTCTCATTACTTCTGGCATAGTTGGTCTCAACGCTGGCTTGGCATCTTTGCAATGCCTTCCTAAGGATTCCAGACAGGCGTTTGGCAATTTCTTTCCAATGGTATATATATGATTACCCCAAATGAAAAAACGTCACTGGATGTACTCACAGGCTGACCTCGCAAAACCTCTGTGGCAATATGGTTGTAAAAAGAAGTGTACGTTCGAGCTTTTGGCCTAGAAACTAAGCAAGCCTTACCAAAGTCTATCAGAAAACCTTTCTTTCCTGTAACAAGAACATTGTTTGACTTGACATCACAGTGCAAAAAACCCTTGATGTGAGCATGAAAAAGAGCTTCTGCAATGTCAAGTAAAACTGAGATCCACTCATTTGCAGAAAGTAACAAATGTTTTGGTATGGTTTGGTGCAACAACTTATGAATTGTTACTGATTCCAAATTCTCATCACCAACAAACTGCATAACTAAAGAGAAAGGTTTTTCTTCAATTTGGACCCCTAATAAATATGGAATAGATGCATGAGTTAGTGTATTCATACATTGTGCCTCATTCATAACTGCTTTTAAATCAGATGTTGGCAGCTTCTTCTCAACAACAGTAATCCCAAATCTCTTAAACGTTTTAAGAAAACAATCCCCATAGGTTCCAGAGGCAACAGGAATAGTGGCCGAGTTATTTACTTCCAATGGCAACAACTCACATGGCCTAATTTGTTTTACTGAAGCAGTACTCATTTTGGTTAGTGAGGCATTACCAGTTGCAGCAGTATCCATTGAAACCTATAACATTAGTAATATAATTAAATTTCTATGTAAAAAATAATGTAGCCAACAAATAGTAAATCTGGTATTGTACTTTTAATCCCTCTCAATATTTATTGGTATAAGTTATTATGTGGTGGTGAGTACAATACATGCTTCCAGAAAGTACATCGTCTTGGCTACAGAGCCATGTTTTCATGGTTGAGATGCTAGGTTTTACATCATATACCTGAAAACGAGATTCTATACTCTATAGCCAATGATGTTCTGCACATTCCGGAAGGGTGTATTAAGGTATAACAGTACTAGTGATGTTTGACATTTTGCCAAAATTGCATGAATGTTGCTAATCCTGGCAAAAACCATGAGGGCATGTATATAGTTTGTTTCAATGATTTGGACAATTTTTACACTTGGCAAGTATAATGAAATATTATTGACTGATGTTGTTGTTGTTGTTTGGCAGGAAACAGCATGTTTTGTCAAACACTGTATGCCTCAGTCAGCAAAACATACTGTTTCCTTTCAGAATCACTGGTCTCAGTCAATATTTAATATCCGACACTTGATATTTTCAATAATAAATGTTGTAAAATATTTTTAGCTTTACCTTTACTTTATGTACTGTAGTCTAGGTGTCGCCACATGATTTGATGGGTTACACAGCACCACAAATCATGTAATAACCATCCCCCCCCCCCTCCCTTGGCACATTTGAGTGGGAATTTATTGGAGAGGATGCTTAATTGTACAATAGAGAAGAGAACTTATTGATTTAACTAGCATGAACTTCAATGATATTTAATAAATCTATTTACAGCAGTATACCTGTATGTGAAGTATACAGGGGGTGCAGTATTAGAGTGGGGGTGTCCTGGGCTTAGGGCTAGGTCTATAATAAATATATTACTGTATCCAAAATATATCACATTCCAACTATTCTTGAAGCAAAATCATACCTTTCTCTTGCGACTTTGTGCCGGTATTTTACGTCGAAGTTCGTTTGCTTCTTTAGAAATGTTTTTCCACTTGGTAAATATTTCTCAGCGAGTGCTTTCTGCTCCTTCACGGCTGCATTTACTTTCTGCGCTAAAACCTCTTCATTAACCATGCGGTTGGCTAACGCTCGCTCTTGTCTCCTCCGTTTCTTGCGGCAATTTCGCATTCTCCTCTTCTTTTGGAACTGACTTATTTCGTTGTTAGCTTTCTCCATTATGATTTTAGCGATGTGAACAACAAAGAAAATGAATGGGAATATACTATATTATAGAAATTCAATAAGAAATTGTGATCACGGTTCCCGAAGCAAAATTGATTTTAGCGCCAACTGCGCGAAATTGCGCCAACAAACGCCAACATATTATATTACGCAAACAATGCGTTTTGTCAACAGACTGGTAACGACAATCAGAAGTTCACATTTTAAGTGAATCGTATTAAAGTTTAAAGTCGCACCTTGGACTTATTTGAAAAAATTAACTGATACAGAATTATACGAGTTTATATCGTATTAAACCTCTGGTAAACTATAGCTTTATTTTGTATTAAAGTTATGTAAATGTATAAATAATGATCATATTAAATGAGTTTGAATACTCAGATTGGGGAACCTGTGTGGTCTGTGGTCGCTTAGGAACGAAACGTTTGTAATGCTTAATTATGTACTTTAAAAGTTTAAATCGTTCTTGTAAACTGCCTCTTACTGATGTAGCCTTTGGACCATCTTGAAAGTCTATTTACAAGGCTTAAACAACATTCATCTTTTTCTAACTTATGGAATATGAGAATAAACAGTTGCGTGGTAAAAACGGCCTGTTTATAAGTATTGATGGAACAGCAATTTCATGCATCAAATACAGAATACTGTACAACGGACCTCGTCCTCTGCTGCTCCCTGAAAACACGCTATATTTGTGGTTTCGCACTTTTCGCGGTAAGTAATCTATAAATACGTATGTTAATAATTTCAATTTAACGACTGTATATTAAGGGGAAAGGGGCTAAAAGGCAAGACCGAAATTTTATATCGAATTAATTGCTTATATTCTTTCAAATATTTGGTGGCTCTTAAAAGAGCCGTTTTATCATCTTTAATCTGTTTAATTTTCTTCATTTTCTTTCTACTTTCCACTGATCCGTCATGGCTTTACAGTATTTCAATTTGTCCATCAGCAGTTTCGAAGTTGGGTCTTTTAACAAGGTTTTCGTTGTCAGTAGTGTACCATTCTTATGAACGTGTTGCCGCTTGATGTTCTTTAGCTGTTGTTTGATGTTGGTCTGTTCGTGCAGTAACTTGGTTTCCATGACTGGTAAGACGTGTAAGTATTTGTTTATGAGTTCCGTGTTTTGGGGTGAAGCCCGTAATTCTTTTCTTGCCTTATCAAACTGCAACACATCCTCGGTCAGTCCCAAAATATATCCTAATTTTTGTCCTTGTTTTGTTCATGCTGTCTGTTTCATATCGTTTCCTAGAAATAAACAAGACCAAATGTGTTTAATTAAAGTAGGCAAAGAAATATTCACACCCGATTATTGAATTGAAATAACTATTTAACTTAAGGCTATTTGTGGATAATAGAACAATAATTACAGTACTATAATATAAATATTGGTACAAGTACCTTTATCCCTATTTTTTGGTTTCATAGTGTTTGCTTCAGAATTTGAACCAGTTTCATTAGCTTCACCCTGATGATCATTCTCAAAACAAACAACATTATCTTCAGAAATCTCAACTAACCTTACATTATATTCAACATCCACTTCTAGCTCACCTGTTTGTACAATATCATCACAACCAACCACATCATCACCACCTGCAACCACAGCATCACAACCTAACTCAGCATCACAACCTAACTCAGCATCACATCCAACCACACTCTCATCAACAACACCAATATCTTCACTTTCTGGCGTTCAACCTTGACCAACAATGGCTTCCCTCTCCTGGTTTGTATCTATAAATACCATGTTACCTTCGGCATTTTCAATCTGAAGTACTTTTACTGGCAGTTCTATTTTTTTCTTCAAGCATGTTTGCCAACAGTGCTTTAAGTAAGCTTCCTCTTTTTTAAAGTTGCTGGAGCGGAAATGGTGCAAGGTCGGTCCTTGAGGAACTGCTTCAGGATTTCCCTTCACATAAAAAAACTCAATGTCACCATTGTTGCATGTTCTCCACCAAATTCCTCCACCTGCTAATAAGAAATCACAGATCCTTTCAAGATGAGCTTGCCAAGGTCTGAAATTACTTACTAGCATCTGTTTAGGAATAACAGTGTTTCCAAAATTTGGAAGAGAAGATGCAAGTTTGAAAACATGAGCTTCTTGTGTGTCAGAGGTTGATGGCATGTTGCCAATGATGTGCTTGGGATGGTTAGAAGATGTCATTCGGGTTATGTTGTTGATGCTATTGAATACTCGTTCCTGTTCTTCGGTGTTTGCAGATCGGCCGCTTATCAATCTGTTCTGGATTGGTGCATGTGCTGAAATGTTGTGGAAGTATTTACCGTAAAACTTTCTTGTTGACATTTGCTTCGGGGAAAACCCGATAACTGACCTGCACAACATTGCGTGACGCCAGGTAAGGTTATGAAATCTCAGAACTGATCGTGGTGTTCTGTGCTCTTCTGAGTTGTAGGCTACTTCTTGAATTTCAACAAGGGTGTCAAGCAACAACTGAACCTTTGGATTAACGGAGCCTCTAAGCTGATTTGAAACAACAATCAAAGCACAGCGGTAATCAATGGTTCGCTTTGTGTCTTTCCCCCCAATGCACAATTCAAGAATAGCCTTCAACTTAGAAGCTTCATTGGTTGGCAGATGGTCTGGTAGCTCACAAAATAGATTTTCGATATGCTTCCCAATGTCGTGGAGGGGTTCAAAACCTAGAATCTCATAACCAGCACAGTTAATTGACTCTAAGGTTTTGTTGGGACTGGTGAAAAGTAGGGCTGGTACTCTTTGAACTCCATGCAGCTCATCCTTCAAGAGATCCTCTAATTCTTTCTTTTTTTCTCCTTCATAGATTGATCTGGCATTCAACTCCCTGATCAAGTTGGGTTTTGTTAATCCATGGAAAGGTTTATTTGACTTTGCCAAAGAATTTGCTTTACCATGTCGACCTTTAAACACCAACTGTTGTCGATCCTCCAGTGATACATGTGGGCAACGAAACACATAATCAAGTTCATGCACCTGATGAGCATTGGCACCACACACGGCACAGTAGAAATTCCCACCTTTCTGTTGACCAGCTTCATATTGACGAGAAGGACCGTCACCGTGGAAAAACCTCATCTTGTCTGCAACAGGTACACCAGTGGTTGTAGTGGTGTGGTCTGAGAGTTCCTCTAAACAGTCAAGTCTGGTTTCAATGTAACATAATTGATCTTCATCACAGGATGAGTACCTTGCTACAATGTACAGACTTGGTGCTTCAACTAATGACTGGATATTTACTTTTTTCCCAGTGATGGATGGCTTCATATTCACTGTTGGTGTAGAATGTGGCTTGGTCATATAAGCAGGTTGCCATAAAGACAAGGTGAGAATGGTTCGCTACTGTAGATAGGTCATGCCATACTAGTAGATGCCGTGTTCTTTCCATTACCTTTAGCCGCTCTCTCATCTCTGTTTCATCCTCACCCTCTTTTCTCTCATTCAGCATTGTCAACCTGTTCTCAACTTCTGTCACACTCATGCTATCCACATCTTTTTCATCATTAATTCGCATATATTTCTCCAACTCGTGTAGCTTTCTTCTCCTGATCTCAACCAGTGGGCATTTGCGTCCCTCCACAAAAAAGGAAGACTTCTCGATTGATCCATCCTCTTTCAGCACTAGCTTCTCATACTAAACAAGAATGAAACTAAGATTATTTGATTTTAATTAAAACTAGCTCACTGGTAAAATGTAAACAGTTTAAATCTACTGTGAACCTTTACTATTTTATTAACATTTACAGTGTACGTCTAGCTTTTCTACTTCAATACCAGTATTTAGGAATAAGAATCACAAAAACTATTGCAATCTCTAAACTATAATTTCCTTATATTAATTATTACTACTGTAAATAAATCTACTGGTACAGTATATTTGATATTTCAGTGGTATATTAATATTTTTTGAAATAATTTCCAGTTATTTAAAATGTCTAAAACCTGATAATTTTATATAATTATTGCGATTTAATTACCTTTCTTGGCACTATTAGCTCCCCAACATTTATTTCGTCTGACAAAACTTTTTCTTGCAATTTCTTCAGCACTTTTCCATTGGTTTCAGGACATGGAACAGTGATTTCACCACCTGCACCTCTTCTTAATTTTTTTCTTATATTGCCCTCATTCCATTCTGTTCTTCTTTTCTTAAATCTTTCCACATTAACTCCTTCCGACTTCAGCCACTCCATAGCAATTTGACCACCGTTTTGAGCTAACTCTCCAGTTTTGTTTTTGATTTGGAATCGTCTTGCTAACTCAGACCAGTTGACCAAAGTGTCATCTCCATAACTATTAACTTCATCTTTCATCCCTTGCTTATCCCATTCCATGTTAGCGAACTTGCCAACAGGACTTTTCTGCTTCCCTTGTTGTTTCTGCTCCCTTGTGCATTCAGCTGCATCTTGTTTACTCTCAAAACACATTGTTAATCTTTCCCTTTGTCTTCCTGCTAATGATTGTCGATTTCCAAAGCATCTATTAAATACAATTATATTTCATTATCACTAACTAATGATATCTCACCAGCTACTCCAGCTGGATACTTTTACCTCACTATAGACTATTAGTTATCCCGGCTCACAGGCTGGGTATGATTCTCACTAGATATTCCGGCTGTATATTTTTACAGGATTAGGTACCCCAGCTGGATATGATATCTCACTATACCTATACCCTGGCTGGATATTTTTTACCTCTGAGTCACATTAGAGTTACCCTGGCTGGGTATCTAGCTACCCTTGCCCTTACTACCGTTTATATATTTATTAACCAAACTTAAGCGCTCACATCGAATTGTTACTCACCGCCGAACAACACATGTGCTAGCCCGCGCACAGGCTGTCAACCCTCGTGACCCCAAAACCAATTATCCAATAATAACATGAAGTTTTCTACACCTTCTGCACACTCTTTCTTGCATTTTGACTCTTACATTTATGAAATTATCTCAACCCTGTCAGGTACTCACTTTGCCACCTCTTCCAGAAATGTTGTAATTTCAACATAATATACTTAAATCTTTCTCCACAGCTACGTTCCTCTCTAACTACTTCCCTCTGTGGTATGAAGCTAATAGCTCTACCATAAATTAGGTGTGACGGTGTCAAAACCTCTCCTTCACACTCTTCATACTCATCTGCTAATGGTCTAGCATTTAATGTACCCTCTATCTCTACAAGCACTGTGGTAAGTTCATCTACTGTCAATTTAGCATTACCTAGAACCTTTCTAAGACACCGTTTAACACTCCGAACCATTCTCTCAAAAAATCCTCCCCACCAAGGCGCTCTTTCTAAATTAAACCTCCATGTTACTCGTTTGGTTTGCAATTCCGCCTTAACCTTAGGTTGGTTAAACAACTGTTTAACTGCCCTTTCTGCTGCCTTAAACATTTTGGCATTGTCAGATACTATAAGGCTTGGCATTCCTCTCCTAGCAGCAAATCTCTGTAGACAACACAAAAATGTCTCTGCAGATAAATAGCTCCAAATGTATAGCTCCAGTCACACAACAAGAAAACAATGCTATATAAACCTTACTTGGACATTTTGCACAACACTTTACAAACAATGGACCTGCAAAATCTATTCCCACATTAGAAAAGGGTGCAGCTTCCCTAACTCGAAATCGCGGCAAATCTGCCGTCTGTGCTACACTATGTGCTTTTCCCTCTAATCTTTTACAGGTGACGCATCTACCTAAAATCCGCTTCACCATTTGTCTTCCTTTCACAACCCAATATTTTGTCCTTAATCTTCCTAAGGTTGCCCGTACACCACAATGATGCACTACTTCACTGTGACATTTCTGGACAATCAATTCAGTCGGTCTGTGGTCCTTGGGTATAATGATTGGGTGTTTGGTATTGAACTCTAACTCAGAATTATGTAATCTACCTTTACATCTCAGAATGCCTTCCTCTTCCATCAAACCTAAACTATTACTCAGTTGGGTGTACTTTCTATCTACTTTCAACCCTGCCTGAGCCTCTTTAATCCATATATTCTCTGGCTCAACTAACTCATTCACTGTCAACTCTCCACTTCGCCTATCAATGCCCCTTGCTTTTGCTCGTACATTAAACCCAAACCTGAGTACCCAAGCTGTTACCCCAAAAAGTTGTTCTGCTGTCCCATAATCATTCAAGTCAATCACTCTACTTATACTAGCTGGCTCTGTCACCTTTACAACCATAACTACAGACTTTCGTTCCTCTTCCAAAACTGTCTTTGTCTTATCAGTAGCCTCAAATTTTGGCCACTCCTCTTTTGACTTAGTTAGCCAATCTGGCCCCACCCACCATAGCTTGTTATCTTTCAATTGTGAAGCAATTACACCTCTAGACCCAATG